CAATTTTACTTGAATACTATAATAATCTTATAAGAAATAATAGCTTCATGTGCAAAATAATTATTTTGATAATAATGACATCTCCTCCCAACATTTAAAAATATCACTCCCAATGTTGTGCTTTCTTCTCATGAAAATGATTTTTTAATAATAAAAATACATTTTTCCTTTTTAAATCACACATATAAAATGTATATAAATATATACAAATCATTTATCTTTGTTCAACGCTATACAATTTCATTTTAAGATTTATATGTCAAAAATAAAGATACTTTCAAAAGAAGAACGTTCTTTCTTTTGACGTAATGAGCGAAACAAAAATATGTTAATTGTTGAATTACGTTTCTCAACTGCAGAATTAGTTGCCCATTTCGGCCGATTCTCGGAAGCTATGCCTTTCCCTTGCCGCGAGCGGGCCACGAAAATGACTGTCGCGGTCAGTCACGGCTTCAAGCTTGGTGGCTCGACCGTCACTTTTGCGACCCGCTCGCGGCAAGGAGAAGATAGAAGATGTAGCTGCTGAGAATCGGCCGAAATGAGTAACTAATTTCGAGCTCTGATGTAAAGAATCGTGCAATTGTATAAAAATATCTTAAATCTTAAAATTATAAATATTAAAGAGAGAGAGAGAGAGAGAAAAAAATAGAGAGAAATAGAGAAAAATGCAGATTATGGTTAAGAAAAAAATTATTAATATTTATTATATATTTAACTTTATTATATATTTACATTTACATTATTTAATATTTACTACTTATTATTATTTTATCTATTTAATATTTACATTATTATATACATTAAGAGAAAATAAGAGAAAATAAGAGAAAATTAAGAGAAAATTATAAGCAATGTCAGGCCAAGTATAGGATAAGAAATATTTAGGATAAAAGGTAAAAAGGTAAAAGAGAAGGAGTAGGATAATAAATATCTAGGAAAAAAGCGAAAAAGGAAAAGAAGGTGGAAGGTGGAGTAGGTGTAAGAAAGAATGTAAAATAAGGGTAAATAAGGTAAACTAAGAATTTCTTAGTATTGTAAGCTGAAGTAATAAAGCTGAAATAATAAAGAGAGACTATAAGCAATATCAAAGATATTGCTTATAATTTTGCTTATTAAGAAAAAATTATAGACAATATCAAAGAATCGAGTATCACAGAAAATATAATTACAACGCATGAGTAAGAACTGAATTGAAGCGAATGATCAAAATTATCAGTAGAGCTTCAAAGGTTATCGATTTCACCTCTGCTATGTATTTTTTATATTATATGAAAAATATAATTCAACGCGTGCGTCCCGGATTCATAGTTTCAATAACCTAATTTTGTTCGATCGTCCTTTAATTGGCAGTTTATTGACGCGCCCTGAAATGTACCTTAAAAAGGAACGTCCATGGCGAGCCACGGATCGCGATTAATAGTATAAATTTCTTCTATTTTTACAACGCGAAAGATACTCCCGATGACGTAGATCCCTCGACCGTGAATTGCTTTCGCTGGTTTTTCCTGTCGCCGCGAAGCTGGATCTCTTTCGGATGACAACAACGCGATTTAACCGACACGAGGAGGTCGCCACGCGACGTCGGCATGGAGGCGGCAACGGGGTTTGCGTCGCTCTTTCGTGGTTGTATGTCAGGGGCGTCGCGTTATTGGCCCCCGAGGCGCAACCAGGCTTTGTCGACTGGCACGCCGGATAAACCGAGTCTCAAGAACTGCTGACTTTTATAGGATAAACGGAGCGAAGGCTGTTTACGGGCGGGCTACGGCGGAGATGTATCTTTATATGAACCCGCAGCTCTGCGCGACACGACGCGACGCGGCGTAGCTACCGAGCGATAGCTACGAAACCAAGAACTCCATGAATACGCAAATGTACGAGGGCTGATCATTTAATCCCGGGGAATAGCTCGCGGAACACGGCCCTTGTTTACGGGACGAATTTTCGAGGAAAAAAACTATCACAGCTATTTTCCATAGTATGCAAATGACCATCGTTAAAAAAAAATAGAGAGAGAGAGAGAGAGAGAGAAAGAGAGAGAAAGAAAGCGTACTGTTTTGCGGATTTACGGCTAGAACAACGTGTTGTTATTCTCAATTAAACGTTTGTAAAGTTCTTTTGGTTGAGATCGAAAAATATTTATTAAGACAACTAAGATACTAAGACATGTTTTAGAGAGTTCAGTGTGAGATGGGAGTTTTTCAATGGGGGGAATCGTGCAATTGTAAATATTGTGTTATATATATCATGTGATTCAATAGAAAAACTCAGATATAACTCTAAATTCAGATCTGAGTGTTTCATGTGAGACAAATTTTAATTGAGATATATTTAAATTTAGAATTAGATATGTGAGTTTTTTAATTGATTTACTTTTACAGATACAACGTTACATATATATAATACAATTCTATATATCATATAGAATAGACTGCGCAGATATAGAAGAGATGAAGTAAGCATTAGTAAGAAAGACTGATTGAGACGTAAGAGATTAAGACGTTTTTCTTGTTTAATTATCTAAAGTCTAAGGTCTGTATTAATAATCATTACTTGAAACTTGTCTCAGATGAGATACTCAGATTTTTATTCAGAGTCAGGTCCAAGTTTTTCAATTGAATTATGACACATAAATGTGACATTTATATCTGCAGTTACGATTCAACTGAAAAAGCTTTCATCTAACTCTAGATTGAAATCTAAGTATCACACATGAGACGAGTTTTAAGTAAGGACTATTATTACTCTTATTATCAAGTCTTATTGTCCAATTGCATAAAAAACGAAAAGGAAGAGAAGCGTTTTACATGATCAATGCGTCACTATGTTTCACTCTCTTTTATTTCTCCTACATTTCTTTCTTAAAATGAGAAGGACTATCTTATCATCAGCCGCCCCGTAAAAGTGCGCAGTCTATTATATAAGTGTACGTGTATGTGTGATTTAACGGAAAAACTTAAATCTAAATTTAAATTCGCATATTTTACGTGAGGCAAGGTTCAAGTAAGGGCTATTAACGTAGTTTTAATAATTAGATTGATCTAGTTAGCATACATTTAAGGTAGATCGAAGCGAATCGGATTAAAATAAGCTTTGAGACTGTTGTCGGTTGAAATAAAAAAATAACAACTGTTTCATATGTTATTTTTATCCGATTTGATCCTATCATACAATATACACGCAAGTACAAGTTATAATAAATAATTATATTGAAATTATAAACAATATCTAATATTATATTTATTATTATATAAACAATTATAATAAATTGTGTAGACATCGTAAATATATACTAATTAGATCTATAATCTGACCTTTAAGTATTAATAGTTGTCATCTGAAACTTATTTCACGAGATACTCAGACTTTTATTCAGCTTTAGATGCAAGTTTTTTAGTTGAATTATATAATTTAAATGACATTTGTATTTATAATTGCGATTTGACTGACAAACTCTTACCTAACTCAAAATTCGAATCTTAAGTTTGTATTAATAAACATCAGCTAAAACTTGTTTCAGATACTCAATTTTTTATTTAGAATTAGGTCCAAGTTTTCCACTTGAATTATATGATATATGTAATATTTATATGATTGATAAATTGATAAAAACAACTCTCATTCTGAACTCTGATTAGGAATTTAAACCTGAGTATATTTCACTTAAGACAAATTTCAAGTAATACCTGTTAATACAGGCTTCAGTGTCTGTTGCTTTTTATATTTTTTGTTATGTTGTTCTTTACACCGTAAAAGTGCAGACGACAGTCAAAACCAATCGTTAGACGCTTCCTGTCGTAAGCATTAAAATTCAAAACGCACTCCTACATAGCTTAACTAAGTTAAGCTTAAAGTTAGTAGCTCATAAAATTAATTTAGTTGCTTTAAAAGTTACATAAACAGTTTGAAAGGTCCGAACATTAAAGTTTCGGTGAACTTATTAGATGAAATTCGAATGCTTTTGAAGCACATTTGGAGAAACAGCGAGGGAGACTGGCCCGATGAGTGTATTGAGAGAACCGCTGTGTTCGAGTTTCATCGTGCGATTTGCGAATTCAAAGCAGCGGTTTGTGGTCTCCAAGATCAAGTCTCGCTTGTCTTTGACGAAGCGCGAACGAAGAACCTGAGGTCATTTTTTGAATTAATGACATAATTGGAGAAACATCTCGGGACGTTTACACAAGTTGAAAATGTTAAGGACTCGAGGAGAGAATGCCTTCCGATAAATATTCGATTTTAGCTTTCGAACACACGTTTAGTTTCAGCAAAATATAATTATATCATAATCCTATCGGGTTAATTAAGCTCATTAAAGTGTCTCTCCTATTCGATATGATGTATTATACACAATAACGCAAAGTCGATTTACATGACAGATACACGGGCACACGGACGAATCTGTGTTAAAGTTCACGAACGTCGCGCGAATTTAGCTCCCTACAGGATTACTCGTCGCGATGCGCGCAATCCCTATCAATTAGTTCACGCCTGTTGATTCGTCGACTAATTACTGGCAATTTCCAAAGATCGAAATTTCATCATTCGAGATAATCCTTAACGTAGGATAACTATATATCGCGTGAATGAAATATATATCCGACTAAATATGGAATAATTTTCAATCAGTATACAATCGTATTTTAATATTCTAACGATACTAGTAGTCTAAAATCTATTTGATTGAGTCAATAATCATATCTTCCTTTGTTATTTACTTTCTTATAGTTAAATAGTTAATCACTTATCCAACGTATTTTTTCCGCACCGACTTTTAATAGTATTAGAATATTAGAATAGGGTTATACTATATAGGAATAATACAAAATTATTTTATATTTTTAGGGATTTTGAGGTTCTTGAAAATGGTTTATTTGTTAACAAACTTTTTTATTTTATACTTTTTAATTATTTATTATACTGTAATACTACTATACATTACTAATATTATATTAATTATTTATTACTATGCTATACTAATACTAATTATTATGCTGTACCAATATTATTAATATAAAATTACTCTATTAATATTATACTGTTTAATTATTTACTATACTCTAATAAAAATCAATAAAAATTTCGTTTTGTATCTCTACATGTTCTCAGGTCTTACAAGAAAGTAATGGGATTATCTAAATTTCAAATTGTCTGGACAAATTCGTGTAGCAACACTAATCTAAGATTTGTAGATAACATTTATAACTGTAACTTGTAACTAAACAAATTAGAAAAATTCATTTCAATATCTCTTATAATTCTCGAGTGTGTTCTGAGAAAACATGCAAACAAACAAATAAACATACAGAACAAAATCACCTTTTAATTTAAGTCGGTTAAAAATGTCAATGAGAGCCTGTGTGCAATTTTTATAGTGCAATATAAACTAAAAACCAATATTATCTCTATCAGATTGACATGTCCAGACAGTGCTGTCCATATTTGAGTCCTTAGTTCATTGTTTGTTTTCGGGACATTCATTGTCCCGAAAAATCGATATCTCGAAATTCGGAAACTAGGACAATTTCTCGAAAATACTGAAATCCGAATATCGTGACAATACTTCAAGATCCAATGTTCCCGAAATATACAATTGTTTAAAAAAAGAATTATTATTCCGAAAACAGTATATATACATACAAGAGTATTAATATCAACCTATTTAAGTACATTATTTGTTAAACTCAAATAAATAGATACTAATGCATTCGGCTGTGTATATATATGTGTGCATACAACCAGACAGTTTCAATATTTCGGGAAATTGATGATGTGAGAGTCTTACTGAGACGTTTCTTGACTTAAATAAGATATTTATATTTGAATTATTTATTATATGTGAGTTTTTCTGTTAAATTACGATTATAGATATAACGTCACGTATATCGCGATTCAACTGGAGAGACAATTTAAGATTTAAATTAAAACTTCAAAATTAAATCTTAGAGTAACTCACTTTTTTTAGTCCAGAATATATTTTATATAATTCAACGAAAAAAATCTGTGTTATTATTATCCAAAAATAATTTTCATTATTGGAAACACATAAAAAATATTGAGTTGAGAATATGGTTTTTAAATATCGGTAGAAAATATCTTTATTATCAAAATAATCATATTGTATATCTTATGAGATTGTTACAATGTTCAAATAAAATAATAATATTATTGAAATTTAAAATTTAAAAATCCTTCTAACAGAATTATAATCGTCACTTATACGTGAAACAATAATTGTTAATTTGAATATATTAATTTTAAATGGATGGAGGAATCTAGAGCATAATATATATTTAAAAATATTATATTCCCAATCTAATATTTTGTGCTTTCTAATAATAAAAATTATTTTGGAGTAATAAGAACACAAGGTTTTTCTTCGTTGAATATTTATATGAATATATATATGAATATATATATGAATATATGAATATATATATTCATATGAATATATATGAAATATATATATAAATATATATATTTATATAAAATATATTTTGGCAAGTAACTCACCTTTGTTTAACGCCATAATCTCATTCGAAGATTGACATATCAAGAATGAAGATATTGTCCAAATAAGAATGTCCTTTTTTTGGTATAACAGTCAGACTACAGATCTAATTAGCATATATCTCGATATTCGGATATCAGTATTATAATATTTCAAGAAAGTGTGTCCCACTTTTTGAATTTTCGTTTCGTAGTTCTGTAGTTTTTGAAGAATAAACGAGAGAGAACCGTTAGAGACGCAAGTTGCGTTTCTAACGGTTCTTTCGCTTATTCTTCGAAAAATTTTGTCGGCGAGACAGTCTCAACAGGTAAAATTGTCCTTCGCCGGGGCGGAATCGTACGGATAAGCGTCCTAATGCCGGGACGCGCCTGACAATGGAACCCCCTTAATTACAATCCGATTAGACGTCATTCTTTGGGACGGCTAAAACCACAAAGTAGTGTAAAAATCTACAGTAGCATTGGCTACTGTACGTTATATGACCTGTGCGATCAGCCGGTCTTACGAATCCCTTACCCGGATGTGGAATAACATTTCTCGTCTGGCTTGGTCCACCGTTCGTCCTCATTGTCCTGCGTTCCGTGTCGCATCCCGTTACTCGTCCGAGAATTCTATCTGGTTAATATACCACCATGAGATCGCGATTACATTTTACACGTTCAACATTAAATATTTGCACATGCGTTTGCGTATCGTTATGGCGGGGCTCGAGGAAACACAGAAACACATTCGCGCGTATTTTTGCGATCTTGACAATTTTATTAGGCGTGTCGCGCAGCAGCACCTTGATAAATCTATTTTTCATCGTCACAACAACCGAGTGTCGATGCCGTATTTGCATGATAAAGCCCGACTATGAGGCGGGCGCCGACGTGATCGAACACTCACGCCTTTATACGGATGGCGACAAACATTCTGTACGATCAAATCAATTCAGAGATCGGTATATTCTCGTGTATACGTCATCGTGCCGTCGAGTCGTGGCAAATCGGGATCTCGTGAACCGTTGCATCCTGTGGGGAAAGCACGTTTTTACAGAAAATGTCAACTCAGACAGATAGGCATATGTAAATTTAGCAGCAACAGTTTATCATCAGTCAATTCGTTGCGTCCCTTATGAGTGGTTCATATCCTTGCTTAAAATAATGGATGATAGAAAATGCTTTGTTAGAAGACTGAATGCAAATATATGTTTACAAAAGACACGATAAACTACAATATAATTTATTTATGAAGTTTCTTAAGAGTGTTCTGTAAAATGTAAAATCACCAATTGGAAAGAAAAAGTCAGCAATTTCTATTATTTTCTATCTATCATTTTAAGCAAAGATGGTATTCATATGTGTTATGCTCGCGCTCTGGAAGAACGTTCGGGGATTGTTTTGGCGGCGGAAGAACAGTTAGAAGAAAGGTTCACGATGTTGCTCAACTGCTGGTTGCCTGAACAGCTGTTTTATAATAAATAAAAAGAGAGAGTTGACGACGAGTCGCGATCGCGAGCGGACGTGTGTCAATCTTGTATTCAGTTTGTAAAATTATACGGAATTGCTGTAAATAGTAAAGCTTCTTGTTCTTTAAAAAAAAACGAGTTCAGTCATTTTCCCGTGCGTGAGCGCGAGTGCAAGCGCGAATGTAACAATATGTATTACACAAAATGGTGAAATAGAACTGTGAAGGAAACATGTGATATCAAGTCATAAAATGTGATATCAAGTCATGTAAAATGTGATATCAAGATTTGAGTATATCTTTTAGTAAATTTGCTGCTGCGTGAGTATAATAAAAACACATTATTGTATCATATAAATTTAGTTATTAATTCAATATGATATATTTGCCTTGTAAATATAACAAAAAAATAGTTGCAGAATGTTCATCATCGATTGTCTAACCTTGTGAAAATCATTAAAGCCTATCTATGTGGGAACTCCATCGGTGATTTTTTTTCTAAAATACTAGTCTACACCCTCGTGATCAAACGTCGTGTTAATCACAAATAAAAATTGATCAACTTTGAAAGATCTATGACATGACATTTCTCCTGTGGAACGAAGAATTCGAAAAATCCGCGAATTATAAAAAAGAAGAATAAAAAACTGGACACTTAGCGTAATATCGAATTGTATAATAAATACCGAATTTTTCCTTGTAGAATCTATTGGAAAATAAAAACTTCGTATAATATTATGTTAAGATTTCCAAGAAAAAATTCGAAATTACTTATTACGTAATTCAATATTTCTGACGCATTGACACTAAGACTATTTGTAGTCTCTTTGTAAATTCTGAGTGCACACGATTAGGATGAAACATTCTGACATCCCCTTAGAGCCTCCACACAAGAACATCCGTAACATGTTAAGTTTACGGATTTCTTTGTGCGTTGACTTAAGTTTAAGTTTACGTATGGCCATTGTATTCTCAATACTTAACGTAACGTAACATGATACGGATGTGCTTGTGCGTTGGCTCTAAGTCATTGACACTTCGAAAATAAACCTGATTTCGATCAACATTGCAGTTAAACTTCTTGCCTGCACTCAGTAATTCTAAAAGATCTTTACAACTAAGGTTGTAAATTTTTCTAAAGCATCACTGACTAAGGAAGATCAATAATTGGGTGTCAATAATTGGCTGTTTTACCCTACACAGGGAGAACTCGCGGTTAACGCGTGCGACCAAAGTCACTATCGGGAAATTGACGTTGATCCAATAACGCTAAGTCCAGTGCGACACGATTTCGCATAGGCAGCGAAATACCTGGCGTCGACTGGCGTCATTTACCTGCGCCAGTGACGGCGTGGAGCAGGTAGCTGGCAGAATAAGAGTCCGGTGGAAAAGGAAAAGGATAAAATCTCTTGAACTCGTACGGTACTGAAATGTCACGCGGTTCCGTGGTCTTATCCTAAGGATTAGATTATTGATTTAGGCTGGTCCAGAGCGTGCGCGCCTTTCAGGTGTTGTCTTAGAACGAGTTTTAGGATAAACGTAACCGTGTTTTAATGGGGTGGCTCGCGCGCTATTGTGTCCGGGACAGACCTTGGCGATCACTTTTTCCGCAATTATTTCGGAAACACGGTCCTTAAGTAGTATACCTGTGAACTTACTTACCTGCGGCCTACTACTGGCAGGTTTACCATACGAGCGTGGCGGCCTGGTTCAACTAAAACCGTAGTCAACGTGTATTCCCTTGAGATAGAACGTTTTTTTTTCATTATACACCACCAGTTGTTGTTGGTTGTCAATCAGTTGTCCTTCGTTTCTGAAAACTTGAAATCACACCACCGCCTCATAATCGCAACAAAACATTTTGGTTTTATGATTATGGGAATTTTCCTATTTCTTTATTTCTATCTCCTTCTCTCTCTCTCTTTCTCTTTTCTTCGCTTTCAAAAAGATAGCCCTTTTAAATTTTTTTTCCTATAGTAATATAATGATGTTATGGGTTTAGTTTTACCAGAGAAGCTTTTGGTTATTCTATTATTCCGTTATTTCAATTTGCTCGTACCTCGGCGATCTGTTTGAATGTTTTGGGAGTATTGAAGTTCACGAGGGACAATGTAAAATCCTCCATTGTTACACTACATATGTGTTAAAGCGGTTTCGAGTCGCTGAAGGTAAAGTGTCACGTAGGTCTTACCACGAGCGAAACGTCAATCTCATACAGCGACGTTTCGAGTGATACTGATCCGCGATGTCGATCGCGGGGAAGGAAATCGCGCAACGATGTCAGTCCAAAATTATCCAAACTTCGCATTTCGATATCAGAGATGGTGAAAGAGCAGGATCAAATGGAGGAAGTGGACGAACGAGGAAAACTAAAGATAAGAACGGAAACGCGATGAAGAATAAGGAGAAGGAACGTGACACTCGGCGGAAGACGCGGATGTGAGGCAGCGGGGAAGATGCGCGTGTAGGCCGAACGGATCGAATGCGGAGGAGCAGGAAACAGCGAGAAGGGCGAAAAGAGACGGCGAGAGGGCGAGCGGCGCGGCAGGGAGGACGAGGCGGGTAGAGGGCCACAAAAAATCCGGAGATTTACGCGGAAAGGGCAAAATATTCCCCGCCCAGGCTTCATTCAACCCCCAGCTACGGGGTGGCTTTGGATGAGAAGCACGCGCCCTCATTGGCCGAGAGGCTAATATGGCGGTGTTAGGGGTTGCGAGGTGGGGCGCGTGTACGCGATATTAAGGGTTGCTTTTATGTCCGACGAGCCAGTTCGTGGTGCGCCGTCGATTGACGCATTTTCCGTCGAGAGAAGGTGGAGAGCGGAACGTCCCAGCGTTCTCGACGCTCTCTCCTGTCGCCTGTCCCTCGCCGCCGTCGTCGTTCTCCTCCTCGAGTCTCGCGCGTTCGCAACCCTCGCGCTGCTCGCAACCCTCCGGCTGCAGACGTACGCGGACGTACGGCGGAGGGACACATGGCACGGCGGGAGGTTCGATTTGCGCGCGTGTCCGCCGTCGGAGAATTTATTACAACTTGCCAGTGATCCTTCGTGAGCCGAGAGAGCCCCGTCCACGACGACCGGCCTACGACGACGTTCGCGAAAGTCGCGAGTCATCCCCGCACCAGTGCTCCCGCCCGAACAAGCCGGCCGACTCTTCCGCTCCAGGCATGGCGCAGACTTACAATCAGAAGAGGAATGTATACAGCATTGATCAGATACTGGGTCACGGTAAGGACGAAGGTGAGTGACGAAGGTTCGGAGAAGCGCGGCTAAGCCGCCAGTGATGAGCTTCGAGTCTCGGGCTCTCGGATTCGGGGATGCGTAGGCGGCCCATCGCGATGATTTGAAACTCCCAAGAAACAAGGCGAACAGCTGTTCCTAGATAAATCGTCCACGTGCACACGGAGGAAGAAAGACACTTCTCTTAAAGAAAGAATTTTTCTCTCTGCGGAGGATATAAAGTTCATTCGCAGAAATAAACTTTATTTTGAAGAAATCAACTTTATCACCAACGAATTTTCCATTATTTTGTTCTTTTTTCTCAGTGTAGGAAGAGACTTTTCCCTCGGCCTCAACTTTGTGCGCGAGAATCGCGTTCGATAATTGACGTCGTAATCAATGAGAATTTCGGAATAATACGAACGATTATAACGTGTCGTGGACGGTGATCGAGGAGCGAGTAGAGTCGGGATCTGCGAGCAAATGAAATCTCACTTGGCTGCATCTGTAAATCCAAGCTTTTCTCCGAAAGTTTCGCTCGCCGAGTGTCCGCACTCTAGTCGTCGCACACGTCCCGATTAAAATTTGAACGCCGTGCGTTCAGCGCAATTGAAATAATCGTATTTGTCGCTCGCGAAACGTTTGTGTACGATCGTAATAACCGTAGAATCGATAAGTTCACTCGTTCTCGTTAACGTTCGCGGAATCCTTGATCATCCGGCAACTAGCAAGTTCGTTACAGTTTTTATTACTCCGATACCGATCGGTCGCGATGCGATAGCGGCGGACACGCTCTCCTTTCTCTCTCTCTCTCTATCTCTTTCTTTCTCTTTCCCCCTCGCTGTAACACAAAGTGAGTTATCTAGGTCGACACATCGCGAGTCAAATACACGAGCATTATCTGATAAGGCGTGTAATCATGCGGTAATTTTGCAAATGACAACCGGCCGCTTTTCGAAGTCATTAAAAGTGACTGCTCGCTGATTTTCGTAGCTGTTTGTAGATTGCGTCGCGAATGCGACGCATACATCGTAATGCATCTTTGTTCTTATCGGAGATCTGTTAACGTTATTCTCCTGCACCAAGTAATGAATTATCTCGTATGAACTGGAATAAATTGAAATTGGAAAATCAATTGTATGAATTTTGTACTTTTCTGAGAGAAATCGCACAATGGAGATAATTTATTGAATGCTGCAAATTCGACCGCTGGAAATAAATTGTTGACACGCTGGAAATAAATTGTTGACACGCAAATTTGTGCCAGTTAGGAATTTTGAATTTTCATGACAACTGCGGCACATTTTTAGACTTTCTCGTTCGATATTTTCTTTGATTTGCTCAATTATTCTCACGAAAATAGCACGAAAATCAATAGCATAAATTTAAAGATTTCGTAGAAAATTCAATTAAGATAGTTTATTGAATGCTGCAAGTTCGATTGTTAGAAATAGATTATTAAAACGTAAAATTTTTGTGTCAGTTAGAATTTTTGAATTTTGGAGGATAATCGTAATACATTTTTAGACTTTCTCGTTCTTTCTTTTTTTTATTTATTTAACTTTATTCGTGAAAAAGGAAAGTATTTAAGAATTTATGGAGAATAAAAATTAATATTTTGTCATGTGGTTTTTCGCATACACAGAAAAAATATCATTCTAAATTAAAAGTAATTACTCAACTTATTATTATTTTTTTAAAGAAATAGTTGTCTTTTTAGCAAAGAATATTTTATTATAAATTTAATATATATGATTTTAAAACATATCACAAATTTTGAATAAGCTATTGTCTATTTTTGAAAAAGTCTATCATTATGTATTCAAAATAATTAATTTTCATTAGAAATTCAAAAATATATTATAAAAACATATATATTATAAAACTTTACCGAAAAAAAACTTTGATATTACTCTATGTAAACTGAATTTTGGTTTCAATTTAATATTCTTAACTGAAACGTTGAACTTCCTAAAATCCGGAATGTACTTTGAATAAATTTGACGCTTATGTGACGAACTTTTGCGACAAATTTGCGGATGTGCAAACTTTACGAAGTGGCTGAAATAAGGCTGACACAATCACTCGGATGCAACGCACACTTATCTATCTATGTGTCAAATCGATTGCTCGCACGAGGGAGGAAACAGGCGCGGCGAGAAGAACACTTAATCTCGGACTCAGAGTAAACGAACAGTTGCAAATCTCGTACGACAATGAGGGAACATACGTGGGACATACGTCGCGAAATGCGCCGTCAAGTTTAGGGTTGCACGATTACACGCGACGTACACGTATAATTAGGTCGTCGCGGGTCACGAATCTGTGGTGACGATCGGTGTAACTTGAATCTACTGCTATACGATGTTGCGACACGCGAGTGCATGCGCGCGCGATTAGGCCAGAACGGACGTACGGACGGACGGACGCATGAGAACGGCCGTTTGTTTCGATGCATGCACTTTGCGGAATTGTCATGGCGTGATAAATCGCGCTATCGAGTTTAAAGAACCGCGTTATTACGTGTATTCGCCACCAACGCTGGCGGCAGCGACCGCGGCTCACGGATGAGCGCAGCGGTTGCCGCGTGGCGATGTGACTGTCTCCCGTGTTTTTATTGGATGCACGAACGCCGCTGTCTTTTGACATGCATTTGTCGATCTCGACGGAAAAATGCAGCTAACGCTGTATTGTGGCCCGCAATATGAGCTTGCAATGAAAAATTGGTCAGATGATATCAAGATATCGACATGTATAGCCGCGCTTTTCCGCCTCTTCTCCTCCCCTCTTATTCACTTCGCCCTCACTTTCGCACCTTTCACTCCGAAACGGAAGTTCTTGGACACAACTTTTTCGAGAGACGTAGGAAGACCTCAGTTATAAGATAGCAACATAATAAAATGAAAATCTGCAAACAGATGTGCGCTATTTTCAAACTTTCCCGGACCTCTTACGAGACTTGGTGAGCCATTAAATATTCGTCCCCGTCTTACAGACCCAACATTCTACGCGGAGAGTTAATAATCCTTATTATTAACAAGGTCCTGATTGCCATGCTGTGTTGCTTGATTTATCAGAATCTGGGGACTTATGTAAAACAAATGATTGATTGGGGTTAACTTGATCATGACGATGGGACAAAGGACGATGGATAAAATGGGTTAATTTTGGTCTAAAAAGTGTAATGTGAGTTATTTGTTGTAATCTCACTCTTTTTGCGCTGCAGAAAGGATTTTCTTGTCGAAACGGAAATTTGGTACATGATTTGATTAAAATAGAATCGACCAAATGTTGAGTAATTGCAACCAAAACATTTAATTGTCGCTACGTGTGTTTTGCTTTTTCAATAATATATTTTACTTATCGCAAGTAAAAAACATGTAATGCCAACAAAATTGTATATATCAAATATTTCAGTTTTAAATGCAAAAAAATAATTAAATAATGTGTTTCGTTGAATATGATGATAGCATGTTTATCTGTCTTTAAACACCCGTGGAAATATGGTAAAAAGTTGACTTAAAGTCAACGAAATAAGGTAGAAATAAATTACTTTTTCGATTAGTGACGATTTGGTTCGAATTATATTTAATTATTTGCATTAGAGTTTAGTTTTATAATTTATTTTCCACTGAAAACTAAGAAGATACTTTAAATGTAAATTTTATTAATTATGACGAATTTAAAAAATATGATATAAAAATTAAAAAAGACGCAAATAATTCTTTTACGCAAATAATTTTATACGTTTCATCAAATATGCACCTGCATACATTTTTAAAAATATATAGTTTTAATATTAAAATGGCTAATGGTGGACTTTCACAATACTTTAGAGGTTATACTAAAAGTGTAAGAGAATGTAGCATTTCTGAAATGTTTTATTATGAAGTTTTCAGTGAAAAAAAGTTATGAAATTAAATTGTGATACAAGAGTAATTACATAATTAGAACAAAGTCGTCATTAATCGAATTACTATTAAAAGTAACTTATTTTGATCATTTTAAGGCGAATTTTGATCACTTTCCACGAATTTAGGCGGATAAAATGCTACCTACGTATTCAGTGACTTAAGAAATATAAAATTACATGTATAATACACCTTACATGTATTACAAATTACATGTATACTTACACCTTTTAGGCCAAAATCAGCTCATTTTACGCATCGTCCTTTCTAGTTGGGGAGACGTAAAACGAAGCATTAAAGTGAAAATCAATGAATACTCACTGAAGCACTCCCTTTTATGGTTCAATCGCTTCGTTGAGGCCGAAATTCGAAAACACGGGCCGAAGTCCGAAAAAGCCAATATTTCCCGCGTTATTTTAGATTTTAATCAAACAAACGCGCTAATTCGAGAATTAGTCGTCCACGATGACGTTTAAACAGCAAGAAAATTGAAAAATTGTAATAAATGAGCTGCGCCGGCGTGTTTCCGTCCGTCGAAAAATTCACCTCGAACACGTTGGAAAATTCGCAGGCGAAAAATGGTGCGCGCCGGCTCTGTATATAAATTGTTCGGCGCGAACATGTCGGGATTTTCACGATATTAACGGCTGCAACGGTAGAAAAATAACGTTGCATGTGTACGTTGTAATCTGAAACGATCGCCTCGACGAGGCTTTTATCTTGAATTGTGTAAAAGTTTTTCCTTCACTGCTCTCTTTCCTGCCGTTTGTTTTTTTTTTTTTTTTTTTTTCATAAGAGATATATTGTAATGGATTTACTTTGTTTTTAATTTATAAGAGATCGACGATAACCGCTGTAACGCGAATTTACGGCACGAAGTTGCGACACGCAAGCGTCGCGTGTACACAGCGGATGCACGCTGTGTCTCTTGTGCGGTATATAAACGCAGAAATGTCGCACGTGATGCGCGAGGTGCGCTCGCGCGAAATCATACGAAGCAATTTTCCGGATATGACGGATACATATAAATTATGAGAGGTATAAATTGCTCGTATGTGTGCGTGTATGCGCACACATGTGTGTGTTCGCGCGCGCGGCCAATGTCTATATGTTCTCGCGCGAATTGTTTCACGATTTCGCTATCAATCTGTATATATATGTTTCGTAAACAGTCGTTTACGATTCACGGTTTGCTTCAAGAGCGCGATACAACGGACATGACTCGTGCTCCACGCAGTAATTCGAGGTATCTCTCGCGGAGCCTCGCAAATATTTTCCTGCGCGGCATAAGGTTCTTTTTAGATGAACTAGTTTGCGCTCTTTGCCTTTAGAGTGAAACAAGCGTGTAACTTAGCGTTGAAGGGAAAAAGAATGAAGTTCCAGCGCGCCACCAGTTCGGCCGAAAAGAACACGTCTGCTCTCTTAAAGCGTATCTGTATAAATGTTTCTGGTTATATTAGAAAAGGGAGTTTAAATCAGTGAGTATTTCTTGATTTTTACTTTATTGCTCCGTCTTATATCTTCCCAATTCGAAATTAATCTCATCATACCGAATCAGGTTGATCTCAATCAGTTATCTGCTTTGTATAAGGTTATATTATCGGATCCTGATAAGTCATGCAATGCAGCGTGGCAAGAACCGTATAATAATAAGAATTACAACTATTAACTATTAGTATAATTATTAATAGAAACATTAATAATAAGAAATAACAAATTAATCCTCCGCATGCAATGTTGAGTCTGTGAGACCCGAACGAATATTTGATCGCCCATACAGCACAGAAGCTTGCAGTTACGTTGCAGGAACGTTATATCATTTCAAATTTCAACGTAACATTGTAGAAACACAACATAGACATGGAAGTGTAACATTCCATCGGAAATATTAATATAATATTGCAGAAACAATATAAATAATTAAAAACTACGCTACAATTTGCTATAATTTATGCATAATACATGTCTAATATATGCGTTTTGTATCTTAATCACAGAAAAAAATTTAAGTATTCACTTATATCTATATTTTCTTATATCTTTATTATGCCTTTATAGTATCTGTATGCTGCGTTATCTGTTGGTCTGATCTTTTCAGCTGAAGTGGCTGCGCTAGTTAAAAAATGTATATACACATTAAAACATATGAAACATATGTACGAAATTCTCATGTTTTAGTCCGTGTACATTTCTTGAACTAGTGCAAGTCAACTAAAAAGAACAAACCATATAACGTGCCACTTATATTTGTACATTTAACAAAAAACGCAGTTTAACTTTATTATGCGTTGCCAGCAGCTTTGTAAGATTTTCTACTGAACGACATCAGTGGTTTACGCCAACATGTTTATTAAACAGTCGCTATTTCTTCTAACACATGTTAAAAAAATATTTAACACGCCGGACCACTTTTAATAAACATGATAGAAAAGCGTTAACTTCTAAGTATTTCTCAACAGAAATTCTTACAAGTTGCAAAACTGCTAATAGTTGTAAAACTGCTAACAGTGCAGTGGAAAGCTGCTTCTGCTCAATGAATTACATTACATTTCACTGTAACGTTGCTACAATGTTTCATTGCGACGTTTCTAAGGGCGGATATTTCAATATTGCTACAACCTTGCGGTAATGTTGCATCAATGTTTCGCAACATATATGGAATGTTACAATGTTTCCGTGTAATATCTATGCAATGTTCCTGCAACCTTTCTGTGCTGTATGGGCATTTACCAACTTTCGTAAAGAGTCCAGAAAAATTTCAAGATAACGTCGATCTGTTTGCAGATTTGAATTTTATTGCGCCACTATCTTATAGCCGAAACTTTCCTACATCTTTGGAAAAAAATGTGTCCAAAAATATTGGCTTTCGACAAAGTTATGGTAGTTCAAAGTTACTCTGACAGGCCTAAATTGTATTATATGTCCCAAGAAAATATGATTATATGCGGAAAGCTAATAATTAGGATCCTATTAGTGATTAGGACTTGATAACTTTATCTTATACAATCTAATGAGGACCATGGGAAACATTTTTTTAGTCGGATTACTAATTTCTGCCAATAAAATGCCACTACATAGTTTGTAACACAAATTTGTTATATGCTGTATGAAATCCAACTTCTTGTGTTTGTGGCGATAAAATTAACGACTGCCATACGCTTTGCGTGCAATAACACTGTCTGTGCTTACACAGTACGTCAATAATGGTAATAGTCGTTCCTAACTGACCCTTTCAGGGACACTTTACTGTAATGCTATACTTATAACTGAATCTCCATCAGTCTTGAGTATTTCGGAGAAAAATACATTGTGTTTTATAGAGTATAATGTAGCGGAAAACGTAGTCAGTATTCGTTATGGCCATTTGGTGCTCTTGTTGGATTTGATGAAATATTAAGGTGAATGGCAATTTATACATCATTTACTAATCTTAAGCTAACATACTGAGTTATTCCGAGTTTTAATTTTGTATTACCTGCAAACTAGCGGAATGAGAACTTTCGATTCATGCGATGCAAAAAGATAATAGTTGATGGAAATATGCAGTTGAAACACTGTTGAAACATTTCAATTGTCTGTCATTAACAAAAACACAGTTGTCTATAAAGTCTATTCTAGATTGAAGTGTCGAAGTGGATGATAAAGATGATTTTTCGTTATATTTTGATTCTTTATCTTAAATATAATATATAAAAAAATTGTATGTAAGTAGTTTATTTATTTTTATATATATGTGATTAAAAGATTTAAAATTCTAATCTCAAACAAAAAAAATATTCAGATAACTTAATAATTTATCTTTATAATAATTTCAATAAAATAAGTATTATATATATAAAATATATATAATAAATTAATGCCATAAAAACTTGTAACTATGGATAATTTTATTCGTCTCTTGAAAAAACGATGTTTTCGTACAGTCGAATAATTATATTTCTAGATAAAATAAACAATATTATTTATCTTATAGGTTCAACTATTAATAAAAATCCTAAAGAGTAAATTTGTTAATTTCATTTTGGAGAAATTTTTACATAAACTCCCGTTCATTGCGTTTCTCTTCATATTTGCAATAAGATGAAATACTTAAGTGGATAATTGCGACCATTTCTGTATAAAATTCTATTCCACAGACTCGAAAGTACATTTATTCTTCTTTATAGGTTTTCATTATCTCTTAATTTCACGGAATGCAAATATGCGAGGACGGAAGCGACCCTAGTCTGTCAGATTAAAGCGTCCAAAATGTGTGCGAGAGTCAATTATTATTAAATTATTTATTACTGATGCACTTTTAAATCGCCACCTTGAAATATCAGACAAAATCCGCGCGAGGCTGTCGAAAACGGACAGAGCGCCGATTACTGTGGACGTTTTGTTTCACATAAAAATAGATACACTCAATGGGCTGGCGCGTCCTAGGAGCTTCGCAAACGTGCGCGCCAGCGCGTTTCCTCGACACGTTCCTCGGCCGCGCGGTCCCGTCGCGTTTTTATCCCGACTGGAGAACTCGCGGCCGGCGGTATTAACGTTAAGTCCTCTTAAGGATTTTATTAGATTTCCAACATAAAGTCCTCGGCCACTTATAATTCGCCCCCTGTCTCACGAAAGTACATCTAGCCGGGCTACCAGGCTTGGCGCTCGCAAATCGGTTTTAACGCTTGACGCTTAGACGCATATAATCCGCGCAGAGGCGCGCAACGGAGAAAAACATCTCGGGGATGGCTCGCGGAAGCGTAATCCAACAGCGACCGCGTCACACGTCGCCCGAGCCATCGACTAATTATTGCGCATACCAGACAGAATCGCCGGCACTCGGCGACCCGCTCGTTTCCGGGGGAGCGGCTCGCGCTATTAAAGCTCGACATGTGCCGCGATCGCGGCACGGTAAATAAATTTTTCATTTCGCTCCGCCTGGGCGAGACTACCCTCGAGAGATCGCCTCTCCCCGCCGTAGTCGCTGTAGCGGCCCGGTCCACATCAGGCGTCGGCGCACAGTAGATTTAATAAAAAGCAGTGGAGAGCTAAGCATCAAGTGGGTACTCCATTGTGCCCCGGCATAAAAACATCGAAATCTCTCTATTCAGCTTGGATTAGTACGACGATGCCTCTCTTTCCGTGCGCGTGTGCGTGCGTGCGTAAGCGCGTACGCGCGCGCGCACGCACACACACACACACACACACACATAACACGTGTGGGGTCGTCGGCAGGGCGGATGCGTGCATCGCGCGTCGCATACGTTTTAAATCGTTCCTCGGCTCATCCTATCACAACTGCCGGCTGTGTATCGACACCGAAAAGTAGGATTAGCATCATTACGCACGAGTAGTAAATGCTTGTCTAATTAGCCCAGCCGGAGACGTGCACAGGGAGGGACGGGGGTGCGCAGCGTGTGCATGTTTACGGCAGAGGGTGGGTTAACCGTAACCTTACGGTTATTCGAAATGTCAGCTCCTGTTCTCCTCCGACCGCCCGCTCGGGGCACGACAGATTGTAGCGCGCCTCAACGACGCGGATCCCCGAGTCATGCTTAGATGAGAAAAAATCAATTGCAACATGAGGAACAAATCGGCGTTCGAATGTCAAACTTCATACGGCCGCTTCGCCACTCGATCGTTTTATTTACATTATGTTTGCGTTTTCGTTCTCTCTCTTGGTTATTTAAACTTAAAGAGAAACAAATCCATTGCAAAGTCTTTTTTGCCGAAGAAAACGGTCGACTGTGATTAGATCGAGTTACAGCTGTAATCT